AAAAAAAAAAAAATCGAGAAAAGAATGGGAAGAAGGACATGATCTTACCTCTTCGGCAATCGATCGAGCAGCTTGTGGTCAGAAATTTGGGAGATGAATGTAGATGAACTCCATTAACGTAGCCCACCAAAAATCTGTACATAATAGCAGCAAAACATGAATAAGTTGGCAGCACGCAAACAAGGAAGAGCATCCTAATCAAACGAAAGTTTTCTGGAAGCAGGACATAAGTGTGGAAGTAAAATAAAAGAAGTTCAGATACCAGCTCTATGATCTCCTGATGTTGAAAAAAAATCGAATAAGTGGAGCTCTTTTTATAGATGCTGGAGGACTTCGAGTTTGAATACGAATAGGATTAAGAATCCTAGTCAAACTATATTCTTTGTGAACAAAGTTTGAAGAAAAAAAAACTCTGTTGTTGTTGTACGTCTGCATGCGAGCAGAATTGAAAATTTGAGTTTAATTAGGAAAAGGGATCTAAAAGTCCAATTTAAAATAGAGTTCTAGAAGTTCAGATGATGTTGTCTGTATGATGACTTTGAGCAGTATATATCTTTGAAAAACATGTTGGGCTGCCGTATAAAGAAACCTCTTGTGGAGTTGCAGGCCATATATGGGTTAAATTGGTTAGTGCTTTGAAATATTAATTATTGAATAGTGGGCCAAAGGAAAATAATCTTTTTTATCATTGGACTTGGAAAAGCATTGGCCCATCATCTACAATCAGGAGATGTTAATGATTGAACCGTCCAATTTTGAGCTTAAATGACAAATCGTGGGCTACAGAGTCATGGATGATGGCAAGTGGGCAAGGTTTTAAAAGTATGTCCAAATTGGACTAAAAGAGAGAAATAATGGGTCATTTGAGATACTAAATAATCCATTAAGGAATATTGGGCTCTATTAAATTTTGCAAGTCCATATCAGATGCTCAAAATTCAAGTCAAAGAAAGTCGTGACTTATTCACTTCAAGAAGTGTCGTCCGTGAACAAGTCTCGAGGGGGCATTTGTAGACAATTAAATTTTGAGCCAATAAAATGGCGACAAGTGTCAAATTCCATGTCATAATAAATTTTCTATTTTATTTGGGAAATTAATCAAATTTTAATTCCTAAATTAAATAGCTAATTAATTGATTATTTAATATATATTGTTGGCCAATTAAAGATTGTCACGTGTATATTTTGAAGGCCAATTAAAGAATGCCACATGTTATTTTCTTGGAGAGTAAAATAAATATTTATTTCTTTTAATAATTATTAAAGAGATAAATAAATGGAAATTCATGGACCAATCAGATTGAAGTCTTCTTTTCCGAGACTCTCTCTCCTAGTTATCTCTTTAAATTATTATTAAAAGATAAATATTGGAAATTATGGACCAATCAAATTGAAGTCTTCTTTTCCAAGACTCTCTCTCCCAACACCTATAAATAGGGACCCTCCCTAAGGTGAAGAAAGACACAATTCATATTCAAGTTCCAAGTTCAAGAGCTCTAGAGAATTCTCTCCTCAAAATTCAAGTGTTCTTGAAGATCCAAAGGCGTTCTTGAAGATTCGAAGGAAGATTCAAGCACGTTCAAGCCCAAAACCGACGTTCAATCCGGAAACAAGCTGCCAAGCCTCCGAATTGCGTTATTAAAGTTCAAGTGTTTTGAAGATTCAAAGGCGTTCTTGAAGACCCGAAGGAAGATTCAAGCGCATTCAAGCCAAAAACCGACGTTTAATCCGGAAACAAGCTGTCAAGCCTCCGAATTACGTTATTCAAAGTCAAGACCGACGTAAAGAAGATCAAAATCAACTTTGCGGCGAAGACCAAGGACTCGTGTTCTTCACGTTCTTGGGAAATCTCAACGTTCGATTCGAGATCAAGCTATCAAGCCCTCGAAGAAACGTTATTTAAATCCATATTCAAGACTTACGGAGATCAAACTGAAGATTAGTCTCCAAAAGTCTCAAGTCTATTTGAAGATCGTTCTTGAAGAAATTAATCAGAGGAATAGTGGAGATTTGTAATCCACTATATTTCTTTTGATTCGTAGAAAATCATTTGTACGAATTTCTCGTGTTTATTAATTCAATAATACGAAATTTTGCGTTACAGTCATACAACCCTAAGTTTACTTGGTTGAAACCAAGACCTTCTGACCTTCATGTTATAAGACCTTCCTGAGAACGATACCCGACCTCTCCAACTCACGACCTCAAGCTCTTGAGGTCTCTCCTCGTATCCGAGCTCCCGGAGGTCGTTACTTCAAGGTCCTCTTTACAGGCCGACCAATACCTCGAGCGGCATCCACGAGCTCCTCGACTGTGTTACCTTCTTCTTATCAGGCTGGAGTTCATCTTGACTGACCTACCCCAAGTTAACCACTAAAAAGCCAGTCCATCTAGCTATTATGGATACTACATCAAAAAATATATTCTTTTAAGGTTAAAAAATTTAATAATGTTAAAGGATTCTTGATACTTTTGTATTGTAGCTTTGCATTGCATGCGACCAAAATTTGTGGCGATATCATGCAGAAATCTATTGCAATACAAAGTACGACAACAATCTGCCTGTCACAATTATCTACGTAGCCCTTTGCCACATCTACTGAACTTTAATTGTTCTATTATTTCTTCTTTGGTGGGCATCATACTGATATCAACATTGATTTAAACTATATAGCTTTGTACTTAAAAATAAAAAAATAATTTAGAAAATAAATTTTAGTTAATAAATACATGAAAACTCATATGTTAGTGAGTCTGTGTAGATCTTCGTAGTAAACTCTCTTTTGATGTAGATAATCATAGAATCCGCCGAGAACTATTCTTCTGTCTTATTTCAAAAATGAGTTTTAAGAATCTTTATTATTGAAAAAGAGTGTTCGGTTGTTGCACAAATGCAAAGAGTCAAAATGAGATGAATCAATAATCATGACAGTGTCGTGCTTTTTCTATGAGTTCTTCTATATTATTTCGAAAATGAGTTCCAAGAAGCTTTATTACTGAGAAACAACGTTCTATTGCTGCAGTAAAAATAGAAGATCAAAATGAGACAAATCAATAATCAAATGACAGTGTCGTGCCTTTTTTGTCTCAACTGATCGCTGACATATTCAGAAATGGTGTAAATATTTTCGAACATTTCATTTTGGACAACGTCAAACTTGTAAGCTCTAATTAACTCCTCAAATAGTGTAACTCTTGTCAAGTAAAACTTTGGGATATAATTTCCCAGCAAGGTTATATATATCATCTCCATTAAACAACTTTAAGTTGTCTCGAGGCTCCAATGCAGAGCTAAGCCAAAGAAGTTCTACATCCCGTCGTTAAATCTGTTATTGAGCTCATCCACTTGAAAATTAGTCGTAGAATTAAACACGTCAAAGTGGTAATGATGCTCAAATGTAGTATAAAACTTTTGGTGGAACGAACGTCCCCTACAAGATTCATAACAAGCATTCATATCCGGTATTTCAATATCATTCTCTTCACAAAATGATAGCACATATGTAATATTAAGAGTATTGAAGCCTTCTTCTCCCAAAGTTTAATTTTGTAATTGACACAAAATCCATTGCATTTAAAATATCAAATGTCTTCTCTTGCAAAGATTAGTGTCGAGCACACACAAAAAGTAAATAAATCCTAAACATTATAATCAAGATGAATTGGTATTATCAACTAAGAAATATAGAATAATGCAAAAACATAAATCAATCTAAAATAAAAATTAAATAACAATAGAGAAGCTAAGGAGTCGTGGATAATTAATTATAGTTCTAGATGTAAGCCGGACAATTAATTGTTCAGTTCAATATTGACGCTCTCGCCTCCACATCTAGCTGTTCGCTCTCAGTAACTTTTCGTAACAAGGGATTGAACATAGATGAACAAGTTCGAGCATACAACACCGGCCACGTATCCAATCCAAATAACTATCATAACAACGGAAGGTACATCAACGAGCACGTATTTCAATCCAAAAATCCATAGACTAATCAATTACGAAATAATCATTCTCATGCGAGCATAGGTCAACGACTTCTCTACTTTCGGTTAAAAAGTCGCTAATTAAATTTGAAGAGGGTTAATCGACTAATCGTTTAGAATCAACAAAACCCTAACTCTAAAGAACAATATCCTAACATTTCCAATTGCAAAATTGAAGTGTCACTCTTCAATTATATCAAACAATCAAACAAGAATTCATCAATTCCTAGTTAAATCAACTCGCACAAGAACGAACAAATGAAAGCCCGACAACTACGAACGACAAAAACAATTATCCCCGATCCCTAGCAATCGGAATTAGCTGCGTATATCACATTCAACACAATCAAACATTTCTCCCCAAGCAATGATTTCCATAAATTAAACGAAGAGAGAGACTTACAATCGATAGAGATTTGAATATTGAATCCAAATACAAGCTTAATCCCAAAAAAATATTAAGGAATAAATTGAAGAGAAATAAAGATGAAAATAGAGTTTCTTGCAGAGAAGAAGAAGGAGAAAAGAAGAAGAAGAGAAAAAAGAAAGAAGGGGAAGAGAAGAAGAAATTGGAGAGGAGAAGGAAGGAGTTGCGGCGTATTTCTGGGCTAGGTTTTCTCCCCCTGTGAAGTCTAGTGTTGATTTATACATGAGAGATGAGTCACGGCGCGGAGGGGCAGTGGCGGATGTGAGGTGAGCAGGCGCCGTGGCGTGAGGAGGATTTTACAGCGTGAGGTTAGTGCGAAGCAAGAGATGGCCACAGCGTGATGCCGTGGCACGGTGTGACGCTGGGACGATGCTGCTTCTCTGGAGGGTCATGGCGGGCGTCACGCGTTGGGTCGCGGAGCGGAGGTCTCTACGGTGTGAGGCCTGGGGCGTCCAAACTCTTTGAATGCATGTGGCGCACGCCGCGGCGCGAGGCATGTCGTGGAGGTCTGATGCCACGGAGCGAGGCCTGCCAAGGCATGACGCCAGTGAGCTGGTGTCCTATTGCACAACTTTGCGTCTCGGCCTTGTTTTAACTCGTCCGAACTCGGAATTGAATATTTTCTTGTCCGTCGCCAATGAAGTCTTCTAATTAATTATGCCTGCACGGTCAATTTTTTGTTTAAAATCCAGTCCTCCCGAAGCTTTCGACCTGCACACCAAAAACAAAAACAAAAACGGAGAAAACCAAAAAAATACACGAAAAACACATAGAAAGCTAAAATAAAAAAAAAACACGCAATAAACTACAAAACGAATTAAAAACCAACGAAAAGACCTAAAATTAGAGAAAAAGAAAGACAAAACAATAACGAAAAACGCAACAAAGACAAAAAAATTGACATAGCAAATTTGTGATCGTCATTATCTTGTACATAAGATATAAAATAAATATGGAATCAAATGATTTCATCGTAATTAAAGCACATTTGGCTTCCCCACGTATAATTAAATTAGGAGTTGCTTCTTCCACCATTTGCTCGAGCATTCTAAATATAGAATAATACATATCTATCATACTGCAAATAAACTCAAAATGAGAACTCTAACGTGTCTTTCAAGCTTGCTTGAAGAACAAAACACACATTTTCTAAAGGAGATCTCAACATTCTTTATAGATTGCAAAGGTTTCACTAATACAATGATTACTAGTACAACACCCGTGTATTACACGGGTGTTTGTTAATTTTTTTCTTAAAATCTAAAATTAATGAGAAAAAGTAGTTTGAAAATTTAAATACCTTTTATAAGAATATATATATTATTATATATTTATTATGGCACTTTTTATTTGTTCAACTTACTTGTGTTATATTATACTAATTTTTTTTAACTTATAATATATAACTACATTACATATAAATATATCAATTGAGAAATAATTTTATTTTTCTAATGAATTTTAATAAATATTATTATTTTTTATTATTATAAAGATAAATATAATTTATTTATTTCATATATACAATATGGATGTCAAATCGAAGATCATCAAAAGATGATTAATTTGATATATTATATATGTAAAACTGATAAGAAATACAAAAGTTATCAACTTTTAAAATACATATATAATTCAATAGCTTATTGAAGGAAACAAATCAAAATTCAGGGATATATTAGTCACTTAGTGCCTCACTATGTAAAATTACAAAGAATTAAAGGGTTATATTAGTAAAAGTGATATTAAAATACCTAAGTTAACTAAATAATATTTATGGAACACCCGAACCTAGATTATTAATTATTAATATATCAATATTATTTATTCAAACCTAATTACGAAGCATGAGTCTTCGCCAAATAGGATTCCGAAGCACCAGAAGCAGCCACGTTGGCTCAGCGCATTCGGGAATTATATATAGGGAGGATGTTATTTGGCGACTGAAAAGATGTAACATTAATATATATAAATCTAAGAGTAACATGAAATTAAAGCTGAAAAGCGTGAGACTGATGTGGATCATTTGATTTTGAGGTCAACATTTTCTAATCCCGCAACATAAACTTCAATCACGCCATGTCAAATTTAAAAATATCACGTCACTTTTTTTTTTTTTTT